ATCCTCCTGCCTCAGCCTCCCGAGTGCTGGGATTATAGGTGTGCGCCACCACGCCCCGCTTTTTATTTTTTTTGAGACAGGGTTTCACTGTGCAGTTCAGGCTGGCTTTGAACTTACTTTGTAGCTCAGGCTGGTCTTGAACTCAAATCAATCCTCCTGCCTCAGCCTCCCAAGTGCTGGGATTATAGGCATGTGCCACCACACCTGGTCTCATGATTTATTCTTGATCTGGGTACCGATTACTGGATATATTCAATTGGTGCATTTTCTGTTTTATGTGTTTACTTCAATGAAAAGATCAAGTTTATATATTATGTAGGTGTAAGGAACAATGAAAAATAAAACAAACGTATGTATTTGTTAAGAAATAGAATATTACCTGCTGGGCAGGGTGGCACAAGTCTATAATCCCAGCTACTCAATCCCAGCTACTTGGGAGGCTGAGGCAAAAGGATCACAAATTCCAGGCCAGCCTTGGCAATTTAGGGAGACGCTGTCTCAATTTATGAAATGAAAAGTGCCAGGGGAGTAGCACAGGGGTAGTGCCCCTAGGTTCAATCCCCAGTACTCTCCTTCTATACACAATTTAGTCACAAATCCTCTATGCCTCTGGTGTGTGTGTGTGCGTGTGTGTGTGTGTGTGTGTGTGAACAGGGTCTTGATATATAGTTCTAGCTAGCCTTGAACCCAACTCATTATGTAGCCCAGGCTGGCCTTGAACTTGAGATCCTCCTGCCTCAGCCTCCCAAGTGCTGGAATTACCAGCACATGTTATTATAGACAACTAAGTTAGGCAGAAATTACTAAGAGAGTCGGACAGGGATGGTACTTTGAGGGAGTCAATTCAGAAAGTGAGAACACACCAAAACTGGCTGAAGGCACCCCTGAAGAAGGCCAGGCTTTAAGATGAAGGTCAAAGGCCAGGTCTGCAGGCCTCCCTAAGGGATAAACAGCAACCGAGAATTATACTGTCACTAATTCCACTTGGTCCAGAAGGTCCAGACATCCCAGTGGCTGACCCATCCCTTCCAAAAATGTTTTTGTTCTGTGTTATAAGTTACAGATAGGCTACAGTTAATGATGCTCATCATATACTTTGCTACGTTCTTTGCTTCCCTATTGGATCAACATTAGCTAAGCAGCAACAGCTGTAATCTTACAGGTTGATTATTGTTTGACCCATGTTGTACTCACCTCATGATTTTACTCTATAAAACATTCTTGGAAAAGTGGCTTCTATGCCAACTCACTTTGGGGATCCCTCCTATCTCTTAGGAGCTCTCTCCTCTCTCTCTCTCTCTCTCTCCTCCCCTTCC